ACATCTCCATACACCAACCCTCCAATCCTAGTATTGATGGTTCTTGTGAAGATCTCACTTTGTAAACATTGTAACAAAAAAAAATGCTTTTTCTTTTTGTGCCATTCTTGGGTCTTGAACTCAGGTGCTGGATGCTGTCCCTGAGCATCTTTGCTTAAGGCTCGCGCTCTACCATTTGAGCTCCACTTTCAGCTTTTTTTGGTAGTTAACTGGAAATAAGAATCTCATGGGCTTTCTTTCCCTGGGCTAGCTTCAACTGTGATCCTCATATCTCAGCCTCCTGAGTAGCTAGGATTACAGGTGTGACCCACCAGTGCCTAGTAAGATAATCAATCTCAATGCCTATTAATTTCTTCCCTCATCTAAGGTGTATGGTACCCTAAAAACAAGGCTACCTATGTGTTTGGGGACAAGCAATAAGGAAAATACTTCAGGTGAGTGGACCTGGAACTAGATTTGGACTGGGCTTTGAATTTAGAAGTCTTAAACCACACTTCTAAGTCAATTAGTAATTATGAGTAAATCAAAATATCCAAACATACATATTCTCATACAAAGTCATTAAAACTCACTAGTAAAAACATTTAAAGTGAATGAAGGCAGGGAAAAAGTATTAAAAATTGCCACTTCTTTTTGGTTTTGCAGGAAGCTATTTGTCTCATAGCACCATGGTCATAACACATGGTTATTTACAGTGGATCAAGGACCAAAGACATTCAAAATTAAAAAGGGAATACCTGATCCCTGTCAAATTTTATGCCTCATTTCTTTTAGTGATGCTTTCTTTATAAGGCCAAGACATTTCTACTGATAAAAGAGAACTCTTTTGAATTTGCACACTTACAGATCATCCTCAATATAAAGGACAAGTTCAAACCCAGGGTGTGTTTCAGATTTTGAGGCTATATGACTAATAACTCTTAGAACTTCTATGGAAACCAATCAAACGAGCAAAGTATGTGCTAAGTTTAAGTCTTTGGTGATAGGTACCTAAGTAAATCATAATTGTCACAATTTTCCCATCCAGAGTTTCTGATGTTCTGTGTCCCTTGGAGACAGTATTGGTTTGAGAGAGGAATGGTTCTGAGACCTAAGGAGGCCTAGAGCTTTTAATTTGTATTCAGGTATCACATTAGTGATTGAACTAGTAAAAGAGAGCAGGTAAGTTCTTAGGAAGCTCTAGTCCAACGCTCTCTCACAATGAGAGTAATTTTACTTCTAGAAAACATATAAAGACCAAGTTCTAAACTGGTTTTCTCTGCCTGCCTCTACCATAATTCAATAAATACTTGTCAAGAACATCATCATTCCCAGAGGTTGGTAAATACCCTTCCTTGGCCTCATAAATCTATATTGTATATGCTAGAAACCACTTGCATTGTTAATGGTAGGGTAAAAGCCCCCATTAATACATTTCCTGTGTTAACCCCTTCAGACTCCACTTCCTATGAGAAGGATGAAGTTCATAAAAGAAAGTAAGGTAGTTACCAAAAGCCCACAAAAAAAATACTCAAAATGTCAGAACTAAAGGTTTCCCCGGTGCACTGATATAGCTGTTAACAGTCTAATGTTGGGCAGCCAGCTTTTCAGGACCAGGAGTAACACAATCCATTGACCTTTCTCTAAGCTTGTCAATCCAAGGTGAAAGTGGATTGTGCAAAACCTGTTCTCAGGCAGGCTGTAGAGGAAAAACATAGGTGAAATCTAGATAAATGCAATGCATTTATATTATACTGCTTATAAATTTAAGAGGGTGGTCTCTCTCAAAAACAAAAGGGCTGCGAAGGTGGCTCAGTGGTAGAATGCTTGCCTTGCATGCATGAGGCCCTGGGTTTGATTCCTCAGCACCACTTAAGTAGAAAAAGCCAGAAGTAGTACTGTGGCTGAAGTGGTTGAGCATTAGCCTTGAGCTGAAGAGCTGAGGGACAGTGCCCATGCCCAGGGTTTAGGCCCCACGACCAACAAAAACAAAACAAAACAAACAAAAAACAAGCATGAAAGCCCAAGCCTATAATCCTACCTACTTGGAAGGGAGAGAATAGACAATCCAGGTTCAAGGCCAGGTTGGGCCCAAAAGTTCACAAGATTCATCTTGACCAATCTCTCTCTCTCTTTAAATGGAATGCTTCATGAATTTGCATGTCATCCTTGAGCAGGGGCCATGCTAATCTCTGTATCGTTCCAATTTTAGTATATGTGCTGCTGAAATGAGCACTTGATCAAATTCTTCAGGCATGTGTAGTAGTACATGCCTGTCATCCCAGCAACAAAATAAACATAAATATGAGGACTGGAGTCTAGGCTACTTGGTCATCAAGTGAGACTCTAATCTCAAAAATATAACCAACACAAAGGGATTGGTGGAATGGCTCAAATGGCAGAAAAACAGTCTTGGCAAGTGTGAGACCCTAAATTCAATCTGTAGTGCAAACAAAAGTCCATAAATATATGTCTAACATACAGCCATTGTACCCCAAGGTAAGCTTAAAATGTTTCAGCATCACCATAATTGGGCCACCACTGCTACACAGGCTAACTTCAGTGGCTTTAGGAGGTAAATACAATTCAAATTTTATACTTAAAAAAATAAAAAGGAGCTTGAAGGTAGGACAGGAGGGGGGAAATGAGGGAGAATGGTGGAGGGAGTGACATTAACCAAGAAGTACTGTACTCATAACCTGACTTATGAAATTGTAACCTCTTGTACCACTATATCATCAGTCATCAATCATCATCATCATCACCATCACCATCATAAATGAGGCCAACTGCTGGTGGCTCACACCTGTAATTCTAGCTACTCAGGAGACTGAGAGCTGAATTGAGGTATAAAGCCATCCTGGGCAGAAAAAGTATGTGAGACTCTGTAAAAAGCTCTAAGTAGAGATGTGGTTTAAGTGGTAGAGAAACTAAGGGACAGTGCCTAGGCCCTGAGTCCAAGCCCTAGGATTGGCATACAAAGTCTGTTCCAAATTCCAAATATTCTCTTATATGTAAGAATCTAGTAGTAGTGAATATAATTCTTCTTAAATGTAATCGTTTGATAAACTATATTCAGTATGGGAGTGCAAGGAAATCTTTAGAGAAGCCCCGTTTCTTGCCCATTTATAGTTGGCTTTCTCTTGTAGAAACTAAGCTTGAACAATCATGGTACAAATAGACAAATCTGCTGTGTCCCAACCCTCCACAGATTAGAGGCTACTCAGAGATATCTGTTCCATGTTCAAAGGCTGCATCCCCTTAACTGTGAAATAAGTTAGTTTTTGAAAAATCTGTGGCCTTGGGAATGGTTGAGAAGATAGACAAAATAGCATATTGCTATACTTGGCAAATTACGTTTATGTAAGGCTCTACACATTAATTCCAGAAATTTTGTGTTCCATGGTTCTTCCTCAAGGGACTCTCTTTTGCCATGGCGACTTTATGACTGAGCTCTATTAAACAAGATAACCACTACCCCAGATTTACCAGCTTAATACTAATTATTCCCTACCATCATATATATGCTGCTTTTCTACAGGTATAGAATTAATAACAGTTTTAAAACTCATATCTCTGAGTAAGCTCAAATATATTGACTATCAATTAAATAAAGCTTCTTTCCAGATAAACCTGGTAGAGCAGAATTAATGTTTTATGATCTGGTTGAAGGGCTTGAGATTATGTGGCTCACAAATTATCCACTGAAGAAAGAATTCAGACTTATGGGTTATATACTAAAGTCTATAAAAACAAGTGGAGTGTACAAATGCAGGCATGGCACTCAGTAGACACTGTGGCAGGGGAAACTGGGGGGCAGTGAAGGAAAGGGTGACAATTTCCAAAAAGAACTGTACTCATTACCTGACTCATGAAATGGTAACTCTTCAGTGCATCTTAATAAAATAATAAAATTACATTAAAAATAACAATATAGGAAAAAACAAGTGGAGTTGGGGAGAGAAAAGGAAAAAAATCACAGTTAAATTTGTAATAATATTACCTTGTATTTGTATAGTTGTTCAGACTTTACCAAATTTGCAGTCTTAAAACATTTCAACTCTTGAGTAAGAATGATTTATAAATTTGCAGGTGACTAGGATAATAAAAAATAAATAAATAAATAAACAACAAAGCAAACCATTTAAAGGAGGCAATCTGTATATATGTCTTTTCTCCTTCCCCAAGGCTAGAACAATATAAACAAGTGCTATTAGTTTATAATAGCTAGAAATGCAATCATAAATGAAAATCCATCTGAACTTTCATGTCCACTTGAGCTGAGTCAAAAAAAGCAACAACAAAAAACACTATCATATTGGGCTAAGTAGGTCTCCTTAGATGGTAGATTTCATTCACTTTAAAGGTCTGACTGAGTATACACATGGTTAAGCATGTGGTTAACCATCTCTCTGTTCTCATCCTGACATTAAGGATGCTACTAATCCATGCTTTGTGCCAATCACAAAGACCTATTTGTCTCTGCTGTGCTTCTACGTTATCTACTCAGACACTTAAAAAAAACAGTAAATGGGCTTTACAGTAAGTCCAAGGAATAACTACTGATTTCCACCCAAAGTAAGAACTCCAGAAATGAAACAGAGGTAGACAAACAACTCTAGAAAAAAGGAAACACAAAATAAAAGCCACTTTTATCCTCTCTGAGAACGAATAACGAGTGAGTAAAGTGAAATACCAAAAATCTTTGTGAGGCTACTGACCACAGGAAGCCAGAGCTGGGTCAAGGTGGAGAATGACTGTAGAGCTCTTGAGTCATGTCAGTTTAAGACTGCTCTAAGTGTCCAGGTGTTTTTAAGAAACCAGTTTTTCTCCACCCGTCTCTCATTTCTGTCATAGTTCTAGTGTTCTCAAAGCTTAAAATTCATATCATATAAAAAGTCCTCATTCATGAATGTAAGCTCAATTATCAACAGAGGTAGTAAACAAAAGTACTCCTAAGAACAGATGTGAAAATGGATCAAAGTGTGACTTTACATTCAAAACCCTAGAGCCACATGATTATCCCCAAAATTAACCGTTTTAATTTTAAAAAGCTTAAAAACACAATGATGGTGAAGCACTGAGGTGCCTTAGGCACAGTCCCAAATCAGTGCTGACTTAAAGCTATGTCCTCTCTTTTCAAGAAAGAGAAAGTAGAGAACAAAGTTCAATCTATAGTTGGGAGGAACAGAATGAAAACAACCAAAATGGTGTTGTCCAGTGCCAACATCATCTTTTGTTTTCAGGCCACGCCACTGGAAATAGTTATTCTTATTATGAGTTTTCTTACAACCTTGGTTTGTTTTTTTTTGTTTTTGTTTTTTTTTTAAAGCTGCAACCTGCTGAACATGCATTGTCCACATTTTCACTGGCAGGAGAGTCACTTTTGTGCCATTTTTGCTTTCTCAGTGTGGGTCTTCCTTCCCTGAAAGTGCAAAGAGAGCAAGCGGACAGCTGCAGGGCTCAGAGCCTCAGGAGTATTTCAGTTTCACTTCTAGAGCAGGGTGAAGGTTGGCTGCATTTGTGCTTCAAATATCCAACTTGTTTTGGTTGTTCCTCTCAGTTGGCAAACTGTTCATAAAATGCAAACTTGATCCTCTCTATGTGATGGCAAAGCTTGATGGCAGGACCCAATTTTAAGTCCATGCATTCTTGGACAGTAGGAAGAGTGAGGAGCAACAAGGCCTGCCCATCGATTTCCTGTTAAGGCAGAAAATGCAAATTATATGTACATGAACGACAGCACCATCATTCACTTTGGTCAGTTCTCATTCACCTTGACTCCGGCACAACTGGCCTATGTTTCTGTTTGGTTTTTGTGCTAAGAATCAAACCCAAGTTCTCATACACGCTAGTCAAGTGCTCTCTCACCATGCTACATTTCTAGTCCACAATAGTCCACTCATTATTTGCGTTTCAGCAAATCTGCCTTAAAATTGATCACCACTCTAGAGCCTGACATATGACAGATACTAATTTTTTGCACAAGCAACTCACTATTTTCAAAAAGATAAGGAAAGTTAAGCAGAGAAGGCCTGATTTCATACCATTTAGATATTTGGGGAATAGGATCAAATTCTTAGGGTAAACAGGACTGTATGGTGCTCTGCTTCAGCTATGGAGCAAGTCAGGGCTGGACAGCGTGTGTGTGTGTGTGTGTGTGTGTGTGTGTGTGTGTGTGTGTGAAAACCTTTAAGTTTAAACATTAGTGCCAAAAAAAATAAAAAAGAACAATGAGCAAGTCAGATTAAATAGCTTTTTGTTATCTTCTCCTGAAAAAGAAATTAAAACACTGTTTTCCTTTTGTACAAGATTTTTCCTAAAACTTGTACATGCATGGTTCTTTATAGTTTGTTATAACAGATCAAGTCTTGGCAATTACCTGGTCTAGGAATATTCTTGCTAATGGAGCACAGTCAGTGGATCTGATGAACCGCACAACATCTGCCACACTCCACTTCAAGGGGTTACTGTCCAGGTGAAGTTTTTCAGCAACTTCAATCCTTATTTCCTTCATTTCCCACAAAAAAATCAAACCAAATAGTGTAAGAGCTATTTTATTCTAAAAAACAAGATGTTTCTACATATAAATTCATAATCCCACAGACAGGATTTTCAATGGTCTCAAGGCATATCTTGCAGCAAAGATGGCAAAGGCCCACACGCATTAAGTATTCAGAAAAATTTTAGTACACATTTTATCTTATTTACTGTCTTTTGTAACAATATCAGAATTTATCTCAAAGTTACAGGATAAATGATTTGGAAAAATTAACAGAGAAAAATAGTTTTTAAGTCTCCCATTTGTTCTTGATTTATTTCAGCTGGTCTCTGGCAAGGCACTAAAGTGAATAGGATGGAATTTCCAATAAGAGAAGGACTACTCAAATTATCGTATTATCAAATATAGTCCAGTTTAAAAAGTAACAAATATTTAGTATGTACATCATATAATATATGCATATATGGATATATGTATTAAATACATTAAACAAGATGCTTAACAAGAATCAAATGGATAATTTATTTTTTAAAAAGCATACATATTATGGAAAATATTTTAAAAGCAATTTCCCCTAAGCTAAGAGGCTACAAATTGAACAAGCAATTAAATTTATTTGTCCTAGGGCTTAAATGCAGGGCCTGGGGACTGTCTCTGAGCTTTTATGCTCGAGGCTAGAACTCAACTTACTTGAGCCAGATTACATGTACAGCTTTTTGGAGGTTAACTGGAGATAAGAGTGTCACAAACTTTCCTGCCTGGGCTAGCTTTGGATTTCAGATCTCAGCTTCCTGAGCAGTTAGTATTACAGGCATGAGACATCAGTACCTGGCTGAAACTTTTTATTAAAACTTAAAACCAGCAATTTTTCTGACAGATTGTCCCCATCATAAATAGCTGTCTTTTAAGTAATCCTTGAAAGACATGTAAATCACTACTTTTGGAATCATTTTAATAATCTCTAGAAATTTTTTATAAGCTTGTCCTGAAAAAAGTAGAATGTCAGTGTCATTAGCAATTAGATTCTAGAGAAAAATTACAAAGGAGGGGTAGACAAACTCTTTAAAATGGTACCTTTGGTGAAGGAGGTCTATTTTCATCATCTGAAAATGAAAACGTGGGAAGCTCTCTTTTTCTTATTTGTCTGTCTGAGGGCAGTGAAGAGGACATCTCACTTTGGGTGGGAGAAGAGGAACATGACTTTTTTTCTGACATTTCTGACTCTTCCTGTAGTTCATCCTGCTGCTCAGATGTACTTCCCTCACTTAAAGAATCTTCATCCCCCTCATCGGCATCATCCTCATCTTCACCCCCACTTCCCTACAGGAAAAGGAGAAAAGGGTTACTGAAATTCAAACCAGTTCATAGGCCACAAAACCATCTAGAGATGTGAATTAGAAATACCTGCAAGTATTGTGTGTTCACACTGTAAAGAAGTGGTTGCTTGACTTCTACACATAACAGGGTACATTATGGATCTCATACCTGGGGTGAACCCACTGGGGTATTATCAACAGATGCAGAGGAGCGTTTCTTCTTATGAACAAAAACATTTTTCCGCCTCTTTCTCCTCTTACTGGCTTTTTTCAGGGCACAAGCTAAGTTACTATGCCCACCAGGTGGCCTCCCAATTCTTTTATTTTTCTTCCTTCCATAATAGTGTGCTAAATGCGGATGACAAAGAAAAACAAAGTTGTTTTATTATTGTACGCCTTAAACCTGCAAGATTCTATTAGCATAACAGAAAATAAGTATATATTTGATTGAGGTTTTAATTCCGTACAGTGAAATAAGCACAGAAGTGTACAATTTAATTAGTAGTAACAAATGCAAAAACCCGAGAAGCCCCCCCTCCCTCTGTCAAGATAAGAGACTATCTCCATCAACTCATGCCCTTCCCAGACATTCCTCTCCCAGAGCATCTACTATTCTAACTTTCATCATAGATTAGTTTTGCCTCTATCGAACCCCAACGGAGGTAAGGAAGGAGGCAGAGAAGGAAGGAAAGAAGGAAGAAAGGAGAGAGGAGAGAAGGAGGAGGGGGGGGAAGGGAAGGGAGAAGGAGGGTGGGAGAGAGAGAGAAGAGGGATAGAGGAAGGGAGGAAAGAAAAGAGAAAAGGAAATAGGGAAAGGTAAAGGAAAGGAAGTACTGGGTTATATATTAAAGTAATATAAAAATTAAACATAATTTCCTTCCTTCCTTCCTTCCTTTCTTCCTTGCTTGCTTCCTTCCTTTCCTTTCCTTTTCTTCCTTCCTGCCTCGAATCCTAGTGCTTGAACTCAGGGCCTGGATGCTGTCCCTTAGATTCTATGTTCTTTATGTTTAAGGCTAACACTCTACCACTTGAGACACAGAGCCGCTTCCGACTTTTTCTGAGTAGTTTATTAGGGATGAGTCTCATGGACTTTCCTGCCTGGGCTGGCTTCAAACTGCAATCTTCAAATCTCAGCCTGCTGAGTGGCTAAGATTATAGATGTGAGTCACTGACACCCAGCTTCATAATTTTCTTTTTATGTGTGTGCCAGTACTGGAGCTTAAACTCAGGGCCTCACAGTCTCTTTTGGCTTTTTGCATTCTACCACTTGAGCCACACTTTCACTTCCAGCTTCTTGCTGGTCATTTGAGATAAGAGTCTCTTGGATTCATCTGCCTGTACTGGCTCCAAACCATGATTCCCAGATCTTAGCCTCCTGAGTAGCCAGGATTATAGGTATAAGCCACCTGTGCCCCACTCTGACAAAATTTTTTGCAAAGATAGACTGGGCACAGTTAGTGGCATATGTCTATAATCCCAGCTATAGAGATTGGGATGATCAGTGTCTGAGGCAAGCATGGACAAAAAGTAAGACCCCATCTCAACCAGCAAGCCAGGCATGGTAGTATGTACCTGTAATTCCAGCTAATAGGAAGCATAAGTAGGAGGACTGGTCCAAAGCCAGCCTCTGGGAAAAAAATGTCAGACTATCCAAAAATAAAAAGTAAAAAGAGATAGAGGTATGGCTCAAGTGGTAATACTTACCTAACAAGTGCAATGACCTGAGTTCAAAACCTCAGTACTGAAAAAAAAGATTATTAAAGATGCAAATTTATTAGCTATCACTCATCTAGGCTAATTTCAATTATATCATTGTGAAAGACAAGTTCACACTTAGTCTTTAGTTTAGAAAATAGGCAGCTAAGTGGAAAATACTGTTAATTAAACTCCTACTTTGGAAGAGTTAAAAGTTTTAGTGTTTTTGTCTGACTTCATCTTTTCCTTTGTGGAAGTTTGATGGGAGTCATATAGGATGAAATGTCCAACTTGGAGCCTCAAGGCATTATCACCTAAAGCCAAAATTCTGATCCTACTTGTCCTCAAATCCCACATGCCCTGATGTCACTTGGAAGAGGATTTTCCATGTTAAGCAATATGGTGCTTGCAAACCATCTGAAGATCTTATTAAACTGAAGGTTGTAATGATCAAATCTGTTGCTTTCTGGTATAAATGTCTACATTTTTAGCAAATTAGTTTAGTTGTTATTGATTGAAGGTTCATGTTTGATAGGCAAACTTTCTAATTAGTATTTGAATTGCACTCATGTATAAGTTTAAGCTTTTATTCCTGCTGGTAGTGGAGACTGAACTCAGGGATTTGTGCTTTCACTTGACTTGCTTGCTTGCTCATACCTGTCATTCTATCATTTGAGCCATGCCTCCAGCCCAGCATGTTTGCTGGTTATTTAGAGATGGAGACTTGGAGACTTTTCTGCAGGGCTGGCTTCAAACTATAATACTCCAGATCTGAACCTTCTGAGTAGATAGGATTAGAGGCATGAACCATTAATGTCCTAACTTTCTATTAGTATTTAACAAACTATAAACTTGTATGGGAAGAGATTTTCTTAGCTTTTATTAGATTCTTTCTTTAGCAAATTGCAGTCATGAGGAGCTAAAGTGGAAAATACTGTTCAAAGAAGTACATATATATCACTTTGGGCTGTTGGAAGATTTGTAGACTTTATCATGTTTGTTTAATTTTTCCTACAAAGAAGATGAGTAAGAGGAGGAGACAGTGCGTAAGGACAGTGAGTCTGCAACTACTTCCTCTCCTGCTTTCTCCACCTTCCTGTCACCAGGGCCATTTCACTGTTCTTCACAGACATGCAGCGAACTTCTGCCTGGAACTGAGCTACGATGCCTTTCTGCCCTCCTCCAACTTGTCTGGGCTGCTGCCTTTCGTTTTCTCTGGCTGCTCCCTGTTAGATACTCTCTGGGTACCTGTACAAACAGCATCCTACACCACTTTTCCTTACTGGTCCTTTTGCTCTTGCTCAACTTGATTTACCTGGCATGTATTTCTACTAGGTCATTTTATTATCTCTTTCTCATGCTAAATGAAAACTTGGCTGGTACCACACCAAGCAAGTCCTTACATTAAAAAAAAATTCTCAGCTGGACTCACATCTATAATCTTCATAATGTTGGGATGTGGAAGACTGGTTTGGAGCTGGCCTAGACAAAAAAGTTCATTAGATTCTATCTCCAAAATAACCAGCAAAAAGCCAAGGTGGTCAGGCACAGGTGGCTCACACCTATAATCCTAGCTATTCGGGAGACTTAGATCTGAGGATTGCAGTTCAAAGCCACCTGGGGCAGGAAAGTCTGTGAGACTGACCTCCAATTAACTACACAAACCCAGAAGTGGAGCTGTGGTTCAAATGGTAGAGTACTAGCCTTGAGCCCAAAAGCTCAGGGACAGAGTCCTGGCCCAGAGTACAAGCCCCAGGACCAGAAAAAAAAAAGCAAAAAAAAAGCTAAGCTCTCCAGGTACAGTGGCTCACATCTGTAATCCTAGCTATTTAAGAGGCTGAGAGATGAGGACTGCTGTTCAAAGCCAGAAATAGAGCTTGGTCTCAAGTGGTAGAGTGTTAGCCTTGAGTGAAACACTCAGGAACAGTGCTTAAGCCATGAATTTAAGCCCTAGGATAGGCACACACACACACACACACACACACAAAACATCAGGGTGAGGCATGGCTCAAGTGGCGGAACACCAGCTAAGCAAACGAAGCCCATGCAAAGTCGTGAGTTTAAACCCTAGTACAAGCACAAATACTTGTTTAAAAATAAAATACAACAAAACAAGAAAGAATGTGACAGAGATCACATAACCTATAGTATATTTTCTTGCCCTTCACGCCTCTAAAGAAAGTTTGTGTATTTTTGTTCTATGTCTGTAAAAAGAAAAAAAGTCTCCAGGATATGAAGTACAGTCAGGTGATACAGTTAACACATTTGAAAAACATGACTTACTGTATTTGGTCTTTGTAAGTACAGAGCAGTTCTCAGAACATGTATCCAGAACCATACGTGGACCAAAGAGGTTAGGACAGCATTCCAGTTTGATACAGGTTTGCCGGCAGAATTCAGTCACCCGGTCTGCTGTTTTTACTATCTCAACAGTAGCTCGATAACTCTTCCCTTTATATCTGCCATTGGAAGACATTAGCTGTCAAATTCATTAAGCCAGTTACCCGGACAAAACACAAACATATTGATACATATGAAAATTATTTCATTCATTTCATATATACATACAACTCTGTGTCGAATAGGTGAAAGATACTGCAGCCAGATTATCTCACATACATACATACATACATACATACATATTGTTGTTTGAACTCAGGGCCTTAAGCTTAGTGCTTATTAGGTAAGTACTCTACCACGTGAGCCCACATCTCCAGCTCTTAAAAATATTTTTTGGGGAAGTAGCACTGTGGCTCAAGTGGTAGAGCACTCGCTTTGAGCTAAAGAGTGAAGGGACAGAGCCCAAGCCAGAGTACAAGCCCCACAACCGACAAAAAACAAAACAAAACAAAACAAATATATATATATATATATACATATTTTGCTTCTTAGAATATTCTATGCCCAAGCTGTGCACCAGTGGATCACATCTATAATCCAAGCCTTGAAAGAAAAAGTCAAGGTAGATAACCAGCCCCTGAGTTCAAGTCCTAGTACCTCCATGTGTATGCATGCAGGCATGCACACGCACGCACACACACACAAACTGTGTGTCCATAGTTTGAAAACTCTGATAGTAAGTTATACATTTTGTACTTAAATCTGGCTAAACTATGACAATTAAAAACTATTTAAATTAGCAAACTTAAACCCCTGCTTTCTGTTCCTTGGTGAGCAAAAAAAAAATTATTGTCCTTTAAGTAGTTGTACAAAAGGGTTTCAACTCAGTAAGTCAGATTAAATGATTCAATAGAGAACAATGCATCTTGCTCAGTGTCATCCTTTCATGATTTTCTGCCATCTTTACCCTCAAGTTATGTGATTCCATTTACACCTATGTACATGGGCTGTATTTGCCCATCCTTTCTCTCCATTCATTTGTCCTCTTCCCTTTTACCCTCTCCTGCCATTTTGTTAAACTGTTAGTTGTTCAGAGGAGTTACAGTTTTCTTTTTTTTGCCGGTCATGGGGCCTGAACTCTGGGCCTGGGCACTGTCCCTCAGCTCTTCAGCTCAAGGCTAGTGCTCTACCACTGGAGCCACAGCGCCACTTCCGGCTTTTTCTGTTTATGTGGTGCTGAGGAATCGAACCCAGGGCCTCATGCTTGCAAGACATGCACTCTACCACTGAGCTACCTTCCCAGCCCCACAGTTTTCTTTTTATCTTCTTTTGTAGTCCTGAGGACTGAACCCAGGGCCTGTAGATGCCTTGGAAGCACACCTTGAGACCCAACCTGATCACTGAAAGTTTTCAAATAGTAATTTCACTAGCTACTATAAAAAGAAAAGTGGCTTTTTATCCTTTACTCTGGTAGTGATCTTTGGAGTATCTGTTATTCCAGGACAGTATAACCTGCCATCTATCCATAAAAAGGATCAGGTCAGAAAGCACTTTGAAGAGTAATTTTTATGTCTCTTAAATCTAATTTAAAAAATTGTTCTATGCCAGGTGCCAGTAGCTCATGCTGATAATCCTCGACACTCAGGAGGTTGAGATCTGAAGATCACAGTTCAAAGTCAGCCCAAGAAGGAAAATTCAGGAAACTTATCTACAATTAACCACCAAAAAGCTGGAAGTAGAACTGTGGCAAGTGGTAGAGTGTTGGCCTTGAGTATAAAAGCACAGGGATAGTGTCTAGGCCCCAAGTTCAAGACCCAGAACAAGCCAAAAAAAAAAAAATCCTAGCATTTTTATGTCTTTTGAAGTCATATCTCTCTTATTTGTCTATTTATTGATGGTACTAGGATTTCAACTTAGGGTTTCCTGATTCCTAGGGAACCACTTGGGCCACACCTCTATCCCTTCTTTCTTCAGTATTTCTTTTAGATAGGATCCCTGATTTTGCCCCGGCTGGCCTCAAACTATGATTTTCCTGATCTTTGCTTCCCAAGTAGCTAAGATTAGAGGTGGGAGCCATTGTTCCTGGCCCTCTATTTCTTATACTTCATGTATACATATTTCATAAATGTATTGATGCATGACAAAATGTAAATTGAAAAAATAGTCTAATCCTTCACCACAACATAAATATTCTGATATTATCTGTAGAATTGATTCTCTTACCTGCAAAAGACTAAAAAAAGAATAAAGGACAGAGGAATCTACTCACTTGGCTTTTAAGACTTCCCCACATCCATGCCATACAGAATCTTTATCCAGCTGAAGCTCCCGGAGAACACGACTGGGCTTATAGGCTGCATTGATAAGTAACGTGAGGACCTGAGCTCAATTTTAAAATAGAAATGTGGGTTGGGAGGAGAAAAGCAGACCATTAGAATCATGGCATCCTTTTGTTAAGGTCATCTTGGGGACTAACTCGAGTCATACTAGTAAAGAAATGTTAATACAATAATACCAAAAAATATGGAAGTTCCTTAAAGTTACAAATAAACAATAACTAATCCTCTTAATATGTGGCCAGGAAAAATTTCAAAATAGCATGTATTCCCAAATGCTTTTCCAGCCATGGCATACACAGAAAATTGTACTTGGGACACTGTGTAGACAGTTTGACCTTGTTGAAGCTACAGAAGTCTGGTCTAGTACCTCTGGCTCCTCTAGACTCTGCCTTGACATACTGAAGGCTGAAAGGTTCAATATGACCTCACATCCATTACCTACAGCACAGCATACTGTTTGGGAGACACTTAAAATAATGATTCCTTCATATTCATAGTTTTGTCACAGCCCAAATTAATGTCACACAGTTCAAAGTTCACATTTTCCTTTTTTGGTGTGTGGTACTAGGTATTGAATCCATGGCCTGGTGCCCACTTGAACTATCCTCCTAGCCCTTTTGTTTCTGAGAAAGGGTTTTACTACCTTTCCCTGGGGCTGTCCTCAAACTCATGATCCTATCTGTCTTCTAAGTAGTTGAGATTACTGGCATGTACCACTATGTTCAAATTCTCATGATTCACATTTGTTTTTGTTTTTTGATCCATCGTGGGGCTTGAACTCTGGGCCTGGGAGCTGTCCCTCAACTCCTCAGCTCAAGGCAAGTGCTCTACCACTTGAGCCATAGTGCCACTTCTGGTCTTCTGAGTGGTTTATTGGAGATAAGAGTCTCACGACTTTTGCTGCCCGGGCTGGCTTTGAGCCATGATCCTCAGATCTCAGCCTCCTGAGTAACTAGGGTTACAGGTATGAACCACCAGCACCCAGCCACACTTGTAATTCTTGTGAGGTCTCTGACAGAACACTTTTCAAACTGATAGGGGTGAACCTGCTAAGTGAAGAATTGCCTAGATGAATGTTCCCTAGGAAGTAGAAAAAAATATGCCCAGGGCTGGGAAGTTGGCTCAGTGGCAGAGCGCTTGCCTTGCATGCATGAGGCCCTGGGTTCGATTCCCCAGCACCACATAAGCAAAAAGAAAAAAAGCTGGAAGTGGCGCTGTGGCTCAAGTGGTAGAGTGGTAGCCTTGAGCTGAAAAGCTGAGGGACAGTGCCCATGCCCAGAGTTCAGGCCCCACAACTGGACCCCCAAAAAAATGCCCAATTCAGTTCCCAGTATAGTAATTTCTTCCCCTTATCTGTGACTGCATTCAGAGTTTCAGTTATCAATGGCTCACAGGAATCAAAAAATAATAAATGGAAAAATCCTAGAAATAATAAATTAATTTGTAAGAAATACCTAGGGGTTAAACTGCACATTGAGTAGCATGATGAAATCTTGTACTTTTTTGCCTAGAATATGACTTATCATTTTGTCCAGCATACTCATGCTGTATATAGTACCCATCTTTTATTTGCTAAGTAGCTGTGTTGGATATAAAATTTACTATTGTAGTATTGCAGCACTAATGGTTCATGTAACCCTTACAATAGCCTACTGCTACACAAGAATGCCCATATCATTCACCTCACTTCATTCATCAGGCAGGCATTATACCTAAATCTCACACTATCAAAATTAGAAAGGTGGATTCAGCACATATTGAGACCATATTAGTGTATTATTTTCATTGTTTTGTGTTGTTATCAGAAGTTATTTTTAAACTAGACAGAAGTTCTATGATTTAGTTGTAGTTTGAGTATGTCCCTCAAAACTCCAATGTGTCAGAAAACTGGTCCCCAGAGTGACAGACATAGGGGGGAATGGGAACGTTCAGAGAGAGGTGTTCACTGAGATGTCCTTAGGCCAACTGAGAACATGACCTCAGAAGTGACTGTGGAACTCCAGTCTCTTTGGTTATCTGTTTGGTAATGCCATTTCTTTCTCATAGATGCTGTTGTACAATAAAATGACACAGCCACAAGACCTTCACCAGAGACCAAATTGTTATGTCTACCAATGAGGCAGACCACCTCACCTGATGTTGAACTTTCAGATTCCAAAACAATGAGCTAAATAAACCTCTTTTCCTCACACCAGCTTGCCTTAAATATTTCACTATACCATAAAAACCAGATTAATATAATACATATGTATAGGACAAGATAGTATATATAGGATTTGGTACTATGCATATTTTCATGCATCCACTGAGGTTTTGGAATGCATCTCCCATGGATAAGGAGGCACTCTACATGAAAAGTTAGTAATGTTTGAGAAAACCTATACCTGTTCTATCTGTAGAAGACTATTGTGAAATTCCAAGTTCCTGTGCTTTAGGTCAGAACCTTACCTCTCTAAGAACCAGAACACAGTTTCCAGGTCCTACACATTGAGGCAGCTCAGCAATTCTTCCTTTGTTAAGATATGGCCCTGAGAAGCAACGATGATTGAAGTATATCTTTGGACAGCAATATTTTCCATTGATCATAACTAGGAATTAAGAAAAATAAATATTCAGAACAGTCATTCTCTACCCCATGTTTCCAGAGCTGAATTACTGGAGGAAAGGGACGAAGCATACACGTATTCTAGTGTATATGTATGTGATGTTCGGAATCAAATCCAGGGCTTTGTGCATGTTAAGCAAGTACTGAGCCCTGAACTTACACATTTTAAAGCTTAACATGCTTTGAAAATGCTCTTGAAATAATCTTATACTAGTTACAGAGCTTTTCATTCTGTTGAAATCAAACAAATATCCTGAATGCTAACTCTGGGGTTAATACAACAATGTTCTAGACTGAACGGCAATTAGAAGCTATTTTTTGCTTAGAAAAATAAAGATGCTTTATTGTCTGATTTTTTAAATCTTTAATAGGTGACTTGTCAGTTACTATGGGGATTTTTTAAAAAAAAACATTACTTTAAAGAGTATTCATTCAAAAAAGTAACTGAGAGGGTCTCAAGGTCTATTTACATCCACAGAGCACAAAAGAACCTAGATATGTGGCCAGGGCAAACTTTTTAGCCCATTAACAATTACAGAGAGAGTTCTTAAACTCTCATCAGAGTTGCCACCTTTTTGGGTAGGGTTTAGGAGCCAAATTGTAACTCTGGAAAATATCCAACAGTAATCCCCAGAAACATTCTGCAACAGTTGGTTTTAAAGAACTAGAAAAGAAATAATTGGGAATCACAGGTTCATAAAGTATATCTTCCACTTTATCAATAGAAGTTTAAGGCTCTGGAACATTGTATTAACTCCGGAGTTAATCAGCATGTATTTCAGGGTATTTAAGCAAAAAGATGTGTGCATACTGCACATCATTAACAGAATTCTTACATTCTCTCTTTAATTAAAAATTCAGATTTGGGGTAAGGACACAACTCAAGTACATGCATGAGGCTCTGGGTTCCATCTCAATACCAGAAAAAAAGTGAATAAAATTTAAAACAACAAGAACAACAACAAAAAGTAGTTCCACTTGGTAGGTGGAGGTAGGAGAACCCCAGTTCAAGGCCAGTCTAGAGTACATAGCAAGACCCTGGGTAAAGAAACTAATAAAAAAAATTAACAAATAAGCAAGTCATGGGTAAGAGAAAAAAAAGTTCATGTTTAGAGAAAGATTTGAGTTCTATTTCTGACTCTTCTACTCAGAAGCTATTATGAGCACATTCAGCCCTCATTTCTCTCCTAGGCAATTACTATCACCTCAATGCCCAATCTGTGATGCAACATCCATAGTCAAAATGCTATACATTAATTACACAGTCAGCAAAGGGGGAGGGAAGAGTACTTAACCTCCAATGATAATCTCATTTATTAGAGACAATCACAAATCCAGCGCTTTATTTTTTAATTTATATATTTTTATTCATATATAAAGTACATTATAAAAAGGGTTTAAAAAATGAACCATATATCTCAAAGCTCCTAATTAAGAAAAAGCACTAGTTTGGCACCAGTGGCTCACACCTGTAATCCTAGCTACTCAGGAGGTTGAGATCTAAGGATCGCAGTTCAAAACCAACCCAGGCAGGAAAGTTTTATCCCCAATAAATTACTCAGAAAAAGTCGGAAGTGGCGCTAAGGCTTAGCACAAGACTTAGCAAAAGAAGCCCAGGGACAGAGCTCAGGCCCAGAGTTCAAGCCCAGGAGCAAAAAAAAAAAAAAAAAAAAAAAAGCAGACTATCTAGAAAGCTTCATCTAAAGTCAATGATGATAATATTGACTTTTGGAGCCCTTGGCACACAAATGGTGGTCAGTAAAGAACAGTTTCAATTAGAAATGTATAGAAATATTGGTATTGAGATGTTATAAAAGTAAATAAACACAATTAAAACTATACCATCACATGAATCAAATTTCTCTAATGAAGATATCATATTCAATAAGTCAAATATATTCTTTAACTTATTTTCAAAATAGTCCACTAAAAGCAACTGAAGGTGGTCTTCTTTTCCGTAAGATCACAAAGGCTTATACCTGAGTCTGTGGAGTTCAGTTCCTGACTCTTCAGGCCCTCATGGACAGTCCTTGAGGACAGGACTCTAGGTAAACAAAGCAAAATAGTGAGATCATCTCTAAGACAAAAAAAGTGTAAAGTTTCCTTCAAATCTAAGAACAAAACAAATGTGTCAGGTTGTGAAATCTACAATGAAAAGTCCTTCCTTCATCATACATTTTTAAAAACAGCAATTGCTTTTTAAATTATGCATAGGGATTAATGAGCCAAAAGACAGTCTATCAACAGTGCTAAAATATCACATGTTCAGGTGATGTTTTTATTCATGTGTATAAGAAATTGTAAAAGGAAGTGGCACTGTGGCTCAAGCGGTAGAGCACTTGCCTTGAGCTGAAAAGCGCAGGAACAGCACCCAAGCCCACAACCGACAACAACAACAAAAAAATTATAAAATTATGACTCTAAGATTATAAAATTTCTTGTGTGATCATTTTTTCTTTGTAATTTGCTTTGTTTTATGGTGGCACTGGAATTTGAAGTCATGTTCATAACTGGCACTCTACCACTTGAACCATATCTCCTCTTCTGTTTTCTTGCTGATTAACTAGGATATGAGTCTTAGATTTAAACTGCAACGCTCAGATTTCAGCCTTCAGAACACTAGTGCCCAACTCTTGTGGAATTCTTAACAAATGAATGATTTTTTCAACAGAAGCACTCATGTTGAATTTTCTATTAACTCCAAAATTTACACACACACAATCACACACACATACACACACACAATATGTATACAATTTGTAGGTGAAGACGGGGGAGGGAATTGGAGAGAATTAGGGAAAAGATGATACTGTATGAAAGGAAATGTACTTATTACCTAACACATATAAATATAAGACCTCTATATATTACCTCTAATAATAACAATAACAAAACAAAATACAGCTGCCAGGGGTGGGTGGCTGATACCTGTAATCCTAGCTACTCATGAAGCTAAAATCTGAGGATTGCAGTTCAAAGCTGGCCCAGGCAGGAAAGTCCATGAGAATCTTATGTCCAGTTAACTACCAGAAAACCAGAAGTGGCGCTATAGCTCAAGTGGTAGAGTGCTTGCCTTGAGCTGAATAACTCAGAGACAGTGCCCAGGTCCCAAGTTTAAGCTCCATGATGGACAACAACAACAACAAAAAAACCCACAGCTGTATGTGGTAATCCATTGTCTGCTTCTCAGGAGGCAGATATGAGATCATAAGGTTTGCCCAAACAAAAATGTGAATCTCTATCTAAAAATTAACTAAAGCAAAAAAGCTACCAAGGGTGTCACTCTGGGGGAAGCCAGGCATGGTGGCTCATACTTGTAATTCTAGCTACTCAGGGGGTTTGAAATTCTAGGACAGTCTAGTCAAAGAGTACATGAGACTATTTCAATCAATAAAAAGCTAGGGTTGGTGGCATGTACCTAACATCCCACCTGTGTGGGAAGTACAAATAGGAGAACTGTGAACTGAGCTGTCCAAGCATAAATTTGAAATCCTATCTGAAAAGTAGCTAAAGCAATCCCTTGTAGTTAATGCTGCATGTACTAGTCCTCTAGAAATATGTGTCAGGCTGACACAACTTGATGGAACTCCACAGGGCTTGTTTTCCAAAGAAAAGTGTACCATTTAGAGACATACAAATAAACTTCCCTAGATGTTGTGTTAAAAAACATTAAAGCCACTCAGCAACAAAAAAAAAAAGAAAAGAAAGAAAAGTAGCTAAAGCAAAAAGGGCTGGAGGAATGGCTCAAGTGGTAGAATGCCCTACCTAGCAAGCCCCAGGGCCTTGAGTTCAAATATTAGTACTGCAAAAAAAAAAACCTCTTAAGAGACTTATTCTTCATGTAATAACCTCTCACAAAAAGATTATTTTTGAGAATGCTTCCTGACTAAAGCTTTAGATTAGTCATAACAACTAAATCAAAACTCCAAGGGCAGCTTTTTTGTTGTTGTTATTATCTCACTTTTTTAAAATCCTATGGCCTTTCTCTCTTCTTCTATTATTAACTATAGTTTATAACTACAAAGGTAGTCATAACTATATATTAGGTAGTTATAGAATTAGCTATAGGTGAAATTATGTTTCCTCAAAATTCATTTGTTAAAGCCCCTCATTCTTATGTATTTGGAGATCAAACTTTTGGGATTTAATTAAGATGAAGTGAGGTCATAAGGATAGAATTTGATTCTATTGCTGATCTTCTAAGAGGGTGAAAAGGATCCCGAGGAAGGGTGTGGGGAACATCATAGCTATATGAGGATATAGCCAGAGAGTGGCAATCAGTAAGCCAGAAGAGAGCTCTCACCAAAACCAAACTGGCCATTACTTCAATCTTAAGATTTCTTAGCCTTTTAGGGCTGGGCATGGTGGCTCATACTTGTAATCCCAGCTACTTGGAAGGGGAATATTGAGAGGAATATGATTCAAGGCCAGTCATAGCAAAAAGTTAGCAAGACCCCATATCACCCAATAAGCTGTAGTTAAAGCTGTGTGGAAGGATCATTGTCCAAATTGGTCCTGGCAAAAAACACAAAACCTGTAGGTTATGGTGGCTTATTCCAGTAATCCTAGCTCCTCGGGAGGCTGAGGTCTAAAATCAAAATTCAAAAGAAAGTGTAGTTTTATTTCTAACCACCAAAAAAGCTGGAAGTGGAACTGTAGCTCAAGTAGTAGAGTGCTAGCCTAAAGTGGAAAAGCTCAGGGACAGTGCCCAGAGTTCAAACCCTAGGACTAGTACACTAGTGCATGTGTGCAACACACACATACACACACACACACCTTACCTGAAAAATACCTAAAGCAAAAAGGGGTAGAGGGCTGAAGTGGTAAGAATGATTGTAGTGCAAGCAGAAGCTGAGTTCAAACCCCAATTGTGCCACACACACAAAAAAAATTAAAAATAAAATAAACCAGGCGCCGGTGGCTCACGCTTGTGATCCTTGCTACTCAGGAGGCTGAGATCTGAGGACCATGGTTCAAAGCCAGCCCGGGCAGCAAAAGTCTGTGAGATTCTTTTCTCCAATTAGCCACCAGAAAACCGGAAGTGGCTCTGTGACTCAAATGGTAGAGTGCTAACCTTGAGCTTAAGAGCTCAGGGACAGAGCCTAAGCACAGAGTTCGAGCCCCATACCGACAAAAAAGTAAAAATTAAAAATAAAATAAAATCTATTTTTCTAGCCTCCAGAATATAGGAAATTTCTGTGGTTTAAGTCATCAAGTTCAGTATTTTGTTATGGTAGTTAAATCCCATTAATATTGATTTAAACACCCAACGTAGGGCTGGGAATGTGGCTTAGTGGTAGAATGCTTGCCTAGCATGATTGAAATCCTGGATTCGATCCCTCAGTACCACATAAGCAAAAAAAGCCAGGAGTGGTGTTATGGTTCAAGTGGTAGAGTGCTAGACTTGAGCAAAAGAAGCTCAGGGACAGTGACCAAGCCTTGAGTTCAAGCCCCATGATTGGCAAAAAAAAAAAAAAAACACCTCATATATATACATTAAAAACTACCTCCCCCTCCTTGCTGGTCCTTAGGGCCTGGATACTGCCCCTGAACTTTTGTGCTCAAGGCTAGTCTACCACTTGAACCACAGCTTCCCCTTGGCCTTTTGGTGGTTATGTTAATAGGAGATAAAGAGTCCCATGACCTTTCCTACCTGGGCTGGCTTTAAACTGCAATTCTCATATCTCAGCTTCCTGAACAGCTAGGATTACAGGCATGCACCACTGGTGCCCCACTGAAACTTTTGTATTTTTAAGAGTTGCAGTACCACCAATTAACTGCTTCTTAAAAGCTGTATGTGAAAGAGTTGCCAGGTCAGCACAAAGCCACTCTTTAGAGTGTGTCTTTTTTCTTCTCTTTTTTCTTTTCTTTTCTTTTTTTTTTTTGTGCTGGTACTGTGACTAGAACTTAGGGCCTAGACACCATCCTTAGCTTTTTCACCCAAACTGGTGCTCTACCATTTGAACCATGGCTATAGCTCTGGCTTTCTGGTGGAGATACAAGTCTCATGAATTCCTGCTTGGGCTTGCTTTGAACTGTTATCATCAGATCTCAGCCTCCTGAATATCTATGGTTATAGGCATAAATCACTTGTGCCCAGAAGAGTATTTTAAGAGCTATCTTTAACCTTAGGATATCATAATTAAATAATTCCTAATTTATAATTTTTTCTCTTCTTTCACAAGTACGAGGGGACTCATCTCCTTTCTTTCAAATGACTTCAGGCTGTGAATGCCAAAGAAAATTCAATTTAGGGAACATTTTGAGAATGTATTTTGCCCCTATGTATATAATGCAATTTTAGAAAATGCATACACTGTAAGAAGAAGTATAAAAGGTATCAAATTTGAATGCAAAGACTATGCTTATATTTGGGAAAATAAAATATGAGGAACTATACTCTGAAACAGTTCTTTTTTCCCCTTGTACATTCTTTCAAACTTCAACTGTTCAGATATTCTATTACATTACTTACTGTTTTTCTGGTTGAACCACTGCAATTTTCCTTTGTTTATGAACTGTTAAAAGAGAAAAAATAGCAAAGAAAAAATTTAACTTAGGAAAATTATATACATATTAAACTTCTATCAGCATATTTAATACCTAGTTCTATGTATACATAACTGGCAAAAAAAAAACTGGGTTTATGTGTCTGAATATCTAACCTAAACTGGGTAGGGATCTTTATACAAAAAGCAGATATACTATTTCCAGGACTCTCTGGGTCAATAAATTCCTATGAGTATATTCTAAACAAAACTAAGTATCCAAAAGAAAAATTGACTCAACCAGAGTGCCAAGATCATTCAAAAGAGGAAGGAGAGTCTTCAATATGAGGTGCTAGGAAAACATCATATACAAAAATCAACTTAAATCAGATAAAAATCTAAGGAGGTAAAACAAAACTCTTACATACAAGAAAATACTCACAATTTGGTTTATCACTAATTCCTTAAATATAACATCAAAAGCAGAGGCAATAGAGTTGAAGTAGACTATAAAAAAATTGAAAGCATGTAAAAATAGTGAAAGACTACCTACAAATGGGAGAAAATATAAACCATATATTTGATAGGAGAATAATATTTAGAATATAATTCCCTACAACTCAATAATTAGAAGTAACCCAATTTATTTATTTATTTTTTGGGGTCCAGTCGTAGGGCCTGAACTCTGGGCCTGAGCGCTGTCCCTCAGCTCTTCAGCTCAAGGCTAGCACTCTACCACTTGAGCCACAGCACCACTTCCGGCTTTTTGCTTATGTGGGGCTGAGGAATCAAACCCAGGGCCTCAGGCATGCAAGGCAAGCGCTCTACCACTGAGCCAACTTCCCAGCCCCAAAGTAACCCAATTTAAAAAGAAGCAAAGGATCACATTTTTCCATAGAAAATATACTCATGTATAATAAAGCATATGAAAACATGCTTAACATCAAGAATCTTCTGGGAAATGCAAATCAAAACTAAAAAGAGACCACTTTGGCTATCAAAACCAAAACAGCCATAAGTAGACAATAACTGCTGGGTGTATAGCAACTGAAGCTTCATAGCTACTGGTATGGATATAACATAACACTGGTATGATTTAACATACTGCTCTGGAAAAGCGTAAACACAGCATTGCCAATGGCTCACTATTCTACTCCTCAGTACAGAAATGAAAGCATACATCTACATAAGAATTAGTACACTAATGTTCACAGAAACGTTGGCCATAACAGTAATCAACTGGAAGCAACCCAAATGTTCATCAACTGATAAGTGGACAAATTGTGCACATCCATACAATGAAATATTAGTTTATAATAATAAAATACTGATAGGTACTATAATACAGGTGAATTCTTGAAGTTACACCAAGGCAGTCACAAAAGATCACATACTATGTGATTCCACTTATTTATTTTTTGTTTTTTTGTTACCTTTAAGTAGTTATACAAAGGAGGTGCCATTTATCAAAGCAGTTTATGAATACAATGCATCTTGATCAGTATCTCCCCCTTGTGTGATTTCATTTAGATGAATGGTCTAACACAGAGGTAAACCTAAGGACACAAAAACTAGATTCATGATTGCCTGGAAAGGAGGGATCGGCTATTAATGGCTTTGTAGTCTCTTTTGGAGATGAAGAAATGTTCTTAAATTACAACAAATGTTCTTAATTGTACAACATGGTAGGCCTACTGAAACTATTGAATTGCATATTTTAAAAGAGCAAATTTCCTAGTATGTTAATTATATTTTAATAAAACTGTTTTAAAAGAAATGGGGGGTAAGGATAGGGATGGAAGGGGAAAATGGGGGAGAACAATAGAAGGGTGACATTGACCAGGAAGCACTGTACTCATAATCTGACTTATGAAATTGTAATCCCTTTGTATAGCTTCTTAATTATAATTTTTAAAAAAAACAGTATGGGGGAGAGGATAAGAAGTTACTTTCAAGATTAGGATGCTAAGAGACTGCTTCCATCTTGTTCATTTCTTTAGTTCTTTCACTTTCTCATTCTCATAAAAGCCAATTGCCATGCTGTGAGCTGTCTTATGGAGAGATCCACTTGGGAAATAACTAAGAGAAGCCTTCAGATAACAGCTAAAAAAGAGTTAAGGTCCTCACTTCAACAGTCAATGAAAATAAATTTCTGCTGCTATTATTGTCAGAACATATGTACTTCTCAAAATTCTTCTGAAACCTTATTAGTTTTCAGTAAGAAAGGAAGGTAATTATATTATGAAGGAAAACGCAGTATTAGACTTGAATTCAGGGCCTCTTCTGCTTGAGCCACACTCTCATTTGCCCAGCACATTTGTTTTAGTTATTTTTCAGCTAGGGTCTTGTGATTTTTTACCTGGACCAGCCTGGACTACAATTCTTCTATTAGAGGAATGACTCACCATGCCTGACTTGTTAATTTGAAAGAGGATCTTGCTAACATTTTCTGTCAAGGTAGCCTTAGAACATAGTCCACCTATCTTTGCCTCCCAAGTAGTTGGAATGACAGGCTGAGTTACCATGCCTGGCTAACAGTTTAGTTTAGAATATAAAGATGCAGCAAGAAGCCTTCATATATGAACAATAAAATGGGGCCTCATCAGAAATGAAAACTGTCTCAAGACTTGCTAGATTCCAATGGACATATAATTTCTATTATTTGCAAATTATTCAATCTATGTATTCTTTTATAGCAACCAGAATGGACTAAGATCTGACTAAATCTGTAAGACCTTCCCCAAGCCAACCCCTGAGTTGATGCCTGTCCTGACTGGTACTTTCACTGCAGTATATGAGAAAGCTGGGTTCATAGAATTCAAATAAGTTGAGCCCATACACTCTTCCCACAGAAACTTAAGAGTTGTTTATTACTTTTTGCAATAATTTCCTATGCAGAAACAGATAAGGAGAATGCCACTTTATTTTTGGTTTCTGACATACTAACTGCTATGAGATATAATAGATCATTTAACAATCTACCCTGTAATCCAGAAACAAATACCTCGTGCCCGTCGAGGAGTACTTAGAGGATGGCCATTGGTTTCACACCAGCCCAGAGGAAATATATCCATGGATTCCACACTCACAATACATTCAGGTATAGGCTTTTTAGAACCTGTTAAGATTCAAAAATAAGTAAAAAAAAAAAAAAAGAAAAAACAAACTTTAAGACCATTAAATAGCTTCTTTCACAAATATTTTTCTAAACAATGGTCTACTTTTGCAGTAACTCAGATGTAAGAGTTTTTTTTTTTTCCGCAATGCTTTCTTTTTTTATTTTTAACAAAAAGGAAAAGATTTTTTTTTTTTTTGGGTCCGGTTGTGGGGCCTGAACTCTGGGTCTGGGCACTGTCCCTCAGCTCTTCCAGCTCAAGGCAAGCACTCTACCATTTGAGCCACAGTGCCACTTCTGGCTTTTTTTTCGGCTTACGTGGTGCTGAGGAATCGAACCCAGGGCCTCAGGCATGCAAGGCAAGCGCTCTACCACTGAGCCACCTTCCCAGCCCAGATGTAAGAGTTTTGATAAATATCTTTCTCAGGAGACATACTTTTTCATATATGGTAAGTAGTATAAAAATCAGAAAATGATTTGACTAGTTGCTTAGAAGAGGTTTCACAAAAGCCTATATTTAATACTGTCCTTCACATCTGCATTAAATACCAATTCTACAAATCAGAAACAGAAAGAACTGTGTCAAGAGTATAGCTTCTGGCAGCAGGATAAGAAGGAAAATAGGCACATGGAGTATAGCACTAAGCACTCACAGCCTTCCATCTACAAACCCACCACTGAGTACTGTCCTGAGAAAATAGATCATTTCTATTTTATATTCTTTTTGGTTTTATTTGTTTGGGAAAACCAAAATATCATCTCTTCAATAAGCCATGTATTAATGTTCATACTCATTTATTTTGTTCACACAAAACACTTTTTTAATTATTCTTCAAGAAAATAGGAGACTCTTTCATTTCCTAATATTCCAGTTAGAGGATGAGAAAATAAAATTTTAGTTTAGGATATTGTATTTTCATCTTTAAACAAGATTGCTATTTAACTAGCTAGTCCAGTAAGGTTAACAAACCACAAAAGTAAACAGGAGTAGCAAAGGAAAGTGACCACAGGAAGCTTCTCAGGGGCACCGCTGCTTACCCTCCAACTGGAGCCATAGATAGGAGCCTCTTACTGCAGTAATGGTGGCAATGCACACTTCTTCAGGAAGAAGAGGATTGACTGCTTCAAGCTTCATATTCTCCTTAAAGTCATGCTCAGAAATTGACTAGAAAATAAATGAGTCAAATCCATTGCTTGGATTAATATATTAACTTATGTGCTTTTTTCAAGTACTACTTAATCCCTAGGTCTGCTTTAAAGCTATTGGCTTATAATTTATTTTGTCATACTAGGATTTGAACTCAAGGCCTCATGCTTCTTAGGTATAAGTTCTATTGATGAACCACAATTCTAGCCCTTTATACACTCACTGTTTTTGAGACAGTCTTCTACTTCCTTCAGGGCTCATGCCCAGACATCAATTCTTTTACTTTATGCTTCCCACTGTAGCCTAGATGACAGCATAAGCCACCACACCTAGCTTCTGTTGCAATAAAGTCTGTCTGTATTTTCTGCCTGAGCTGGCCTGGAACTTTGATCTTCTTAAAATGTTGTTCTGAAAAGTATAGAGAATCCTCTAATACCAAATATGGGGAAATGCTTGTGAATTTCCCACGATAATTGTATCAATTTTCTATGTAATTTTGTTAATTTTTCATTATATATCGACAATATTACTATATATGTACATATAGCTAAAATTAGTAAATATAGTTGTTGTTGTTTTTTTTTTTTAAAGATGTTCTGCCAGGGGCTGGTGGCCCACACCTGTAATCCTAGCAAATCAGGAGGCTGTGGTCTGAGGATTAGAATTCAAAGCCATCTCAGGCAGAAAAGCCACCCTGGGTAGTAAAGTTAAGTAGACTCTTTATCTCCAATTAACTACCAAAAAGGCATAAGTAGAGCTATGGCTCAAGTGGTAGAGCACCAACCTTGAGCAGAAAAAGCTAAGGAAAAGCACCCTGAGTTCAAACCCCAGTACCAGCACACACACCCCCCACATACACACACTGCATTTTTTTTAATGGATCTAAATTTTTCATCAGGCCTAAAAAGGTTTCACACAAGCCAGGCACTGGGCCTATCACCTATAAATACTAGCTATTCAGGAGGCTGAGATCTGAGGAACACAGTTCAAACCCAGCTTGGGCAGGAAAGTCTGTGAGACTCTTATCTCATGGTAGGGGAAAAACAAAGGAGGAGGCAACAATGCTTGATAAGAAATATACTCATTACCTTGCTCATGTAACTGTAACCCCTCTGTATAGTATTTTCACAATAAAAATCTTATTAAAAAATAAATATCATAATTATATTACACCTAACACAAAATGAACTTAATAGACATCTAAAGACTATTTCATCTAGCCTGTATATTTTTCTCAGCAGCCTATAAACTTTCTCCAAACAGAGCATATTTTAGGACATAAAGCAAGTTTGACAAATATAAGAAAACAAAAATATCTTTCTATATTGTACCAGATTAAAATAAATAAAACTGAAACTCAATACAAAATAAAAGAACAAAAATTAGACACATAAAGAATGAAAAATACACTGTTGAATGATCTATAGGTCACTGAAGAAACACCCTGGGAAATTCAAAAGCTCCTAAAACCAGCAAAAGAAACTACAGAAAATATTTAAACACATACCTATGAAAAACATTGTTGAATGACCAATGGGTCATTGAAGAAATATGAATCTAATGAAAATGATAACACAACCTTTGAGATATAGCAAAGGCAACACTAATACACACACCACACACACACACACACACACACACACACACATCTAAAGCCTAATGACATTCTTTAAGCCCCTAGAAAAACAACAAACCTCAAACTACCCAATGGAAAGAAATAGTAAAGATTAGGGTAGAGCTGGGTGCTAATCCTAGCTACTCAGGAGGCTGAAATCTGAGAATCTCGGTTTAAAGCCAGCCCGGGTGGAAAAGTCCCCTGTGAAACTCTTATCTCTAATTAACCACTCAAAAACTGGAACTGTGACTCAAAGTGGTAGAGTGCTAGCTTTGAGCAAAAGAGCTCAGGGATAGTGCCCAGGCCCTGAGTCCTGAGTTCAAGCCCCACAACTGACAGCCTCCCCCCCACCAAAAAAAAAGATTAGAGTGGAAATTAATAAAATAAGACAAAAAAAAACTATACAGCTGAGCAATATTGGCTTATACCTAGAATCCTAGCTGTTCAGGAAGCAGATATCTGAGGGTCAAGTTTGAAGCCAACCTAAGCAGACAAATCTATCTCTTATCTCCAGTTAACCAACAAAAAGCCAGAAATGGAGGTGTGACTCAAGTGGTAGAGTGCCTGCCAGCTATGAGGGAAAAAAAACTGAGCAAGAGCCTATAGCCTGGATTTCAAGCCCGTGTGTGTGTGTGTGTGTGTGTGTGTGTATGTGTGTGTTCAAGCCCGTGTGTGTGTGTGTGTGTGTGTGTGTGTGTTCTGTCTGTCTATATTTGTGTCCATGTACATGTGTTCATATACAGACACACACACAAAAACAGGCTAGGGATGTGGTTCATGGGAGAGTTCCTGCCTAGTCAAGGGCAAGGCCCTAAGTTCAAAATTCCAGTATCACACAGACACAAAACACACACACACACACACACACACACACACACACACACACACAAATATCATTCCAACTGAGGCACATAGTATTGGTTTTGATTTAATACTATTAGGAAAAAAAAGATGTCTCTAACAAAATTATAGCAATGATGATTTCCTGATGTTATTACTGCCTTTATGAACATAGTAACAAAAGTCTACTTCATGGTGCAGGGAGGTCTAGCAATGGAATAAAAGAAAACAAAACAGCAATATGAAGACCAATGAAAAAGGAAATAATCATAAAATACTGCCATGCTCAGCTGTGACTTTTGGATGCACATAGCAATGCAAAACCTCAACATGAGATGGGTAGGATGGGGGAAAGGTAATGAAAAATAGCTACGTGCTCATTTACTATATTATTATACTATATTCCTCAAAAGATGACAGCATATTATTTTTAGAAAGAACTATGAATGCCAGAATTACAGAGAGAAGAATAGGATGTGATGCCTTCTAGGAAGGGAGGCTATGGAAAGGGATTGGTCTACATTCTAAACTTATTACTTACTGCTTTTTTTTTTTTTTTTGTCAGTTGTGGGGCTTGAACTCTGGGCCTGAGCACTGTCCCTCAGCTCTTCAGCTCAAAGCTAGCACTCTACCACTTGAGCCACACACCACTTCTGGTTTTCTGGTGGTTTATTGGAGATAAGAGTCTCATGGCCTTTCCTGCCCGGGATGGCTTTGAACCATGATCCTCAGATCTCAGCCTCCTGAGTAGCTAGGATTACAGGCGTGAGCTCCCTGTGCCCGGCTTTTTTTCCTTTTTAAAATATGTATATGTATTATTTGGATAGAAATTATTTTTAAGCAAGCTTAATTGTTCTCTGCTTTATATTTCAACATTTTTTCATATTACTGAACCATCAAATTAGGACATAAAACTTCAAATTCACATCATTTCAAAAAGAAAATATGAAACTACAAATCTATAATTAACTAACATAATTAGCAAACCATCTAACTACCTTCTATAATAAAAGTATTTTTCTTTGGACATTTTATTACAATCAACTAAGTATCTGGTTTGAGTGATATGGTGAGCTTGAAAGTAACTTCAGGACAAGCAGGTGAAAGACGACAGTCCTGCTTCCCTGAGGCAATGCCATAAGGGGTCTCACCAGAGGGAAGCACCTCTGTGGAGCAGCTTCAGCACCACACTGTTTGAGGTAGTCGGCCCAGTCGAAGTCCTGGCTAGGATATCCTATATGGAAACAAAAGAGCAATGATTTACACAACATATGCTTACTGGTTCTACCACTTTATCAAGTATCTACTGACAACTTCTAATGATTTGAGTATGTTGATCATTTTAGAAAGGGAGGAAAATACTCTGTAAATCCAAATCATAGCTACTTTCTTCAGAACTTGGGATCAAACTCAATGACTCATATGATTAATTTTATAAACCAGAGCACCTCTGGTCAAACTATGATAATAAAAGAAGAATCTTTAGATAGCATTTAAACCTTTAAAGTTCAAATGAGGCAATTACTTCAATCAATATTTTATTTTTAAAAAGTTGCTTGCCAGGAGCCGGTGGCTCATGCCTGTAATCCTAGCTACTAAGGAGGCTGAGACCTAGGATTGCAGTTCAAAGCCAGCCGGGGCAGGAAAGTCTGTGAGACTCATCTCCAATTAACTACCAGAAGACTGGAAGTGGTGCTGTGGTGCAAGTGGCAGAGCTCTTGCTTTGACCTGAAGAGCTCAGGGACAGGGCCCAGGCCCAGAGTTCAAGCCCATGACAGCCAAAAAGAAAAAAGGTTGCTGGGAATTTACCAAAAGAATTTAAGACAGTTATGACTGGATGTCATTTCTGGAAATAAATCTTATTGTCAATTTTAGTAGGACATGGGCTCTAAAGGAAAGAAATATAGGACTATTTTCTCAGTGAAGATTTTTTTCTTTGATAAGGCCATTTCCTTAAACATGTCATAGTTAATAATGGTATAGCACTATTTTCAGATTCATAAGCTCCAAAATCTCAATGCTCTGAGGCTATAAGGACAATGGCTATTGGTTGTAGTGTTAACTATATACAGTGGCAACATCTATACCACAGACAGGAAGAATGAGTCTAATATTTAATAACAGCAGGGTAACTATGGTGGACAACAATTAATTGGATATTCAAAAGAGCTAGCAGCGAAGATTTTTAATGTTCTCAGCACAAAGAAATAATATATGTCTGAGGATATGCCAATTACCCTGATCTATTCATTATCAATTTATTTGCATACTGAAATCCATCTTGTATCCCAGAAATACAGGATTACTATGTGTCAAGTCAAGGAAATTTCAAAAACTTTCAATGCTCTTATAATCTGAGTCATGAATTTATCCCAGAAAAAAAAAAGCTTAATTCCCTACTTCATTCTACCAAGGTTTTTGAAACTGTCAGCTCCAACACAATGCCTGACTCTACCGTCTGTATGGAAGGAGCTGGGTGGCTCACTGTGCCTGAACTGCTCTCTGCCTCTGAGAACTTATTACTACACAGAAACAGAGCAGGCTACTCAAGACTATATCCTCCTACAATCGACAGCCCCTGCCAATCACCTTCCCTGCCTAACCAAGAAAGGCTCCATGTCCTTTGTCCCAACTTTACTTCCTGACAGGACACTTTCTGTCATTTTCAACTACAAACTTTCCTTCTTGCTACAAAGACAGCTGATTTGTCTCTAACAATACTAACAACTTCAACATCTTTAATAATTCTTTTCTCCTTTTCACCTGAAGATAGCATGCAGGATAAAAAAAAAACTACGAAGCCTTCTTTTCAAACAAAGAACTTCTTTCATATAATACCCTCCCCTCCTTCCATACCATACCTTCCTTCTCTGATTACCACAGGGAAATGGGCATATCTATCAGTTCACAAATGCATCATTTCTTTAATTAGGTACTCCTATGCTCTGCTCACGGGCAGAGAACCTGGGAAGTTCTGTGAGTGTCTTCTCCCTGAAGGGGCTAGGTTATACTCATTTTATCTATCTCATGACCAGCTCAATGTCTGCTTCATAAGAAACATTACATGAACACTTGTTGGATGCATGAAGGCTGGATGGAGAGCCTTCAGACATATAATCCTTGTCAACACACTTCTAGCCCAGTGTTTCAGTGATGAAAGTCGTACTTAACTAACCAGAGACCTACCAATGAAGAATATACAGATAACCTATCAATTTGTTTTGCTTATATAAAACATCAGATAAATATTGAATGTTTTCAAGATGCTGTTAAAAACATTAAAACTTTCATGCAATTATGATGAATTAAATCATAGTTAAATGTCTTGATTTTTAAAAGGCCAAAGATTCTATTTTACAAGGTTGCAGACATTTTACATTTTCCCTGCAGATAGCAGGGAAATGAGCTAATACTTTGCTCCCTAGAGCCCCTGAGTCCTATTCCTTACTAATGAGGTCCAGACATTTAAAAATTATCCATCCCCTACTTTCTAGCCCTGCCTCTTTCTAACAGTTAGCTAGCTCCAAATGTTCTGTGTCCTTCCTTGCCCACTCCTATGTGAACTCTCAGAGACTCAAGACAGAACAGACTGGGCAGCTAGCACAGAATCCAGGCCTGAAACTGGCTTTCTAGCTGGTTATACAGAAAAATTTGTCAACGCAGGATAACAGAATACACTGTTTAACAGCTTCTTAGCTTATTTATAACTTTTCAAATATGTAAGTATCTGAAATCTAGACCATCATTTATACTTGCCTCAGGTCCTCAAAATATTAGGAACAGAAGCACAAAATACTTGTCAATGTCATTTAACATACATCTCATTTATGGCTGGGAAGGTGGCTCAGTAGTAGAGTGCTTGCTTCACATGCATAAGGTCCTGGGTTCGATTCCTCAGCACCACATAAACAGAAAAGCCAGAAGTGGCACTGTGGCTCAAGTGGTAGAGTGCTAACCTTGAGCAAAAGTAGCTCAGGGACAGTGCCCAGACCCTGAGTTCAATTCCCAGGACTGGCAAAAAAAGAAAAACATCTATCTCACTTTAAGATATAAGGCAGGAGGACCATGAGTTTGCAGCCAGATTGGACTACATACAGAGTTCCAGGCCAGACTGGGCTACATAGTAGAACACTGTCTCAGAAAGAGAGAAAAAATTCACTAGGTGAGGTGCTTCATAACTGTAATCCCATACACTTGGCAGATAGAGACAGGAGGATCAAGTTTCAAGGCCAGTCTAGGCAAAAAGTTAACAAGAACCTATCTCAAAAAACAAGCTTGTAGCCAGGCACTAGTGGCTCATGCCTGTAATCCTAGCTACTCAGGAGGATGAGATCTAATGGTCGTGGTTCACAGCCAGCCCGGGCAGAAAAGCCAATGAGATGCTTATCTCCAATTAACCATCAGAAAACCGGAAGTGGTGCTATGGCTCAAGTGGTAGAGCACTTGCCTTGAGCTGAAGAGTACAGGGACAGCGCCCAGGCCCAGAGTTCAAGCCCCTTGACCACCACCACCACCAACAACAACAAAAACAAGCTTGTAATCTCAGCTGTGCTTAGTGCAGAGGTAGAAGTCATAGTCTAAGCCAGACCCAGGCAAAAACAAGACCTTATATAAAAAATAACTAAAGAAAAAAGGGCTGGAAGGCCCAAGTGGAAGAGTATCTACCTAATAAATGTGAAGCCCTAAGTTCAAACTCCATAACACCCCCCCCATAAGTAAATCAATTATCTTAAGGACACAACAATGCATGAATTCACACCTGGAGGTGGAATGATGTGTAGACCATTCTTCAGACTCCACTGCACAGGGAAGATGCCAGGACTATTGGCGTGGCACACAAATGATCGCCGTTCATGATGCTCTGGCCGTAAATCATCCATTTCCACCAGAAAGTACTTCTCATCAAAAACCTATACATGTAAATAACAGATAAAACAGAGAGTGGCTTTATATTTGTGTGTATGTGTGAATGTATGTTTTCCTTGGCATAGCCAAACATGTTACAAAACTTCATAATTATACTAAGTATTATGCTAAAAAATTCAATAAACTTTAACTGTTAGGCACTATTTTAATTAAATATTTTTCATGTGATAAATTAAGTTTTAATCTTCCTAATAATTTAATGAGGTAGATATCATTATCTCCATTTTACAGATAAAGAAAGCGTTTTGTGTGTGTGTGTGTGTTCGCGCGCGCGTGTGTGTAATGAGGTTTGAATTCAGGAACTGGGCACTGTCTCAGCTTTTTCACTCAAGGATGGAGCTCTGCCATAGTTCCACTTTCAGCTTTTTGCTGATCAGAGGGGTCACATGGACTTTATCGTCCAGGCTGGCTTTGAACCATGAAATTCAGATCTCAGCCTATTGAGTAGCTAGGATTACAGATGTAATTCATGAACGCCTAGCTGGAAAATGAGTTTAAAGAAAGGTAAAATAACTTAGCTTGGGTTACCCAGCCAGGAAGAAACAAAACCTGGCTCCAAACCAAGTATTCAGGCTTCAGACAAAATTTAGCTTCAACTTGGTGTCAGTATACTAACTTTTCAGATCCTTAACCAATTTCAAATGCCAAATGGAGAAGTTAATTAAGTCTGGCTCAATATTCCACATCTCTCCAGATTCCACAGTGTTAGGATCCAACTTAAAAGTTTAAAATTCCTCCTTGCTCTGGGAATAATCTTCTACCAGACAAGGAAAAATTAAATCTGAACAGGTCAGATGAATCATTATCCAAACAACTATTCCTAAACTCACACTTTACTGAGTTCTACTTTTAGTAAATGGGCTTCTGCACTAGTTCAAAACTGAATCCTTTTCCTTACCTAGTAACTCAGTAACTAGGCTTTAATGATGTGCAAATTTTATAGTTACTCCAAACAAAGGCCTTATTTTTGTGAGTTGACTGAAAGATTAAAATCTGAATTGTAGTACACTAGATCTGGTGACACCAATTGCCTGTTCCCTACATAATTCTTCATGTCAACCAGCTCTGCATCTGACTGGACGGTGATGATACTGCCTGTTACAGTTACCCTGACCTGCATACCAGTCAAACCTCTTCTAGTTATATACAGTTAGACTTGTGCCAAATCTCACTCCTCTGGTGCCTAGGCTCACTGCTTTGGTTGGTTAGAGCTACCAACCTCAGAAGAAGGAATGGGCCACAGAAAACTGATAATAAAAAGTATGCACACAAACAGTTCTGACCTCACAAATGAGTTGGATTAGTAGAGTCTGAAGATGAAATCACTACAATCTCCTCAACCATACACCCTGATGTGGACTCTTAAAAAGATAATTGCTCCCATTTTACCTTAATAACTGTAGCAGGAGAGATCCCAAAAGGAGACCAGGGGTCCACAGCTTCCAATTTCATATTTACAGAGAATGTATGAATACCAATAACTTTTTTGTCCTAGAATGCAAACATCAATAGGAATAAAAACACCATGCTTTTACATTAATTTTATACTCATGTGTAGCTGAATCTAATTACTTAAATAATGGAACTGCCCAGCTTGTGGTAAATCCTGTAATTATCTTCCCAGGAGAAAAAAGAAACAAATCAGGACAAAAAAAAAATAACACAGAAAGTAATCCACTCTACCTCTCTGGAACATAAGGACTATCTGGAGGAAAAAACTCAATTTATTTTATAACAAGTTTATTCTATGTACTCAAGAGCAGGAAACATTCAAATTGCTTTAAGAAAAGTGTGGGAGGGGATGGGTAGGGGGAGGGGGGGCATGAAGGTGGGGGTGGGAGATGGGAAGGGGAAACAAAGGAGGAAGCAACAATGCTTGATAAGAAATGTACTCATTAGCATGCCCATATAATTTTAACTCCTCTGTACGGTATTTTCACAATAAAAGAAAAAGAAAGAAAAGTCAGGAAGAAACTCAGGCAACTGATCGAAGAAAATAAGGGTCCTTGTCCCTCCGGCCTGAAACCCTCTTGCAGCAGTTAGGGCACTTTCCTACTTCCAGGTATTATTTTTCAGTTTTTAATGTCCTCAACTTGTTTTTCTCTACAGTAAAGAGAACACTACTATCATATGCTTTTGTTCTTACCTTAAATAAGTAAGATGGTAATGGTTCTTTCTCCTCCTCTTTCACTTTGGTCAAAATCTCTTGCCACTCAGCTTCATTTTTCAGATGTCTGATGGCTTTAGTAGGATAAGACAGCACACTTTAGTTGAAAATAAGAAAACCTATTCAATTTTTAACTATTATGCAAGCATTTGTATAATTAAAAAAATGGGCTTTCTACTGGGAACAAGAGGTTAAGCCACATATGCCATTCTCATACAAAACAACTTACATCTCAGTTCGGCACCTAGACAGTTAAATTTTGTGGAAAAAAAGCCTAAGACTGCCTGGGCGCTGGTGGCTCACACCTGTAATCCTAGCTACTCAGGAGGCTGAGATCTGAGGATCACAGTTTGAAGCCAGACTGGGCAAAAAAAGTCCCTGTGAGACTCTTAACTACCAGAAAACTGGAAGTGGAGCCAGGCCCTGAGTTCAAGCTCCAACACACACACACACACACACACACACACACACACACACACACACACCCTACCCAGGCCCTGAGTTCAAGCTCCAACACACACACACACACACACACCCTACCCAGGCCCTGAGTTCAAGCTCCACCACACACACACACACACACCCTACCCAGGCCCTGAGTTCAAGCTCCAACACACACACACACACACACACACACACACACACACACACACACACACACACACACACACACACACACACACACACACACACACACACACACACACACACACACACACACACACACACACACACACACACACACCCTAAGACTGGAAGAATTGCTTTGTACATAAAGCAATAATCATTCAGCTGGCCACGGTAATGTGGGCCTAAACATCCTAGCTACCGCAGAAGCACTAAATAGGAGGATACTGGTCCTGATTAGCTGAGGTAAATATTATTCAAGATCCAATTTGAAAACTAGTAAGCAAAAAGGTTTGGGTAAACAAGCACCATGGTTCCTGCTTATAATCCTTCTCAGGAGACTTAGATCTGAGAATTAAGGTTCAAAGCCAGGCTGGCTAGACTTCTCTCTAATTAACCAGCAAAAAGCTGGAATTGGAGGCATGGCTCAAAAAAACAGTAAACACGAGGCTCTGATTTGAAGCCCCAATACTGGCACCAAAAAAGAAAAAAAAAAGGGCTGGGGATATGAATCATGGTAGACCTCCTGCCTAGGCAAGGGCAAAGCCCCAAGTCCAAAACCCCATCTCCCCCGCCCAAAAAAAAATCATTCCAAATGGGACATAAAATAACTGCAAATTGATTTAAACAACAATTTGATTTAATATTAGAATTTCCTTTAATCAACATTTGTTGCGAACTCAATTTGCTACATACTTCTATCTAAATGCTACATAAGGGATTTTATCACTTTGTGTTGAGTTAGGATAGTCTATGAAGTATATCAGTATGTGTAGTAAATTATAGGTGGAATAAAATCAAAAGCATAACACATTTACTTGAACAAACCCATATTAATCTGTTGTAATATCTCTATTATGTGAACAAAGGCTATCACAAAATGTAGAAAAATGTATTTTTCAGGCTCACAGAGAATAATACCAATATAACAATAATGTAATAGTTAACAGAAAAATGCTGTTATTTCTATTCACCTGATGGGGGCTGAAGCTCATATCCCTGTTGAGCAGCCCAACCAATGTGATGAAGAAAAGGATCCAAGTAATACAACCATTGCTCCAAATTGTCAGGACTCTCAAGTCCTTCATAACGCAGCTTCAGCCGTCCCCCGATGTTTTCTACTACAGTAACAATCCAAGTGCTTAAAGAATCCTGAAAAGCTTGGCATTCTAGCCTGGATCCTGGAGCAATGAGATCTAAAGGATTTCTTCCATTACGGAGCTATACATTGAAAAAGTGAAACAAAATAAGTTAATCTAATCGTAAACCTGTCTTCACATGTTTATCCATTTGAAAGCCAATGACACTGAGTACTATTATTCAAGTCCCTTACAGTATTATTTCTAGGTAACACAAAAATGTTTATATTCAAGAAAATCTACCTAGTCCAGTAAGCTTATTCTAAAAAGAAAATCTAGTTTTCTTTAGTTTCACTTAGTAAGAACTTTTAAGCTATCACCATTACTTGTCTCTGATTATAAAAGCAAATATAAGCCAGGTACTGATGGCTCTAGCTACTCAGGAGGCTAAGATATGAGGATAGTGGTTCAAAGCCAGCCTGGGCAGCAAAGTCCCCTGTGAGACTCTTATTTCCAATTAGCCACCAAAAAAACTGGAAGTGGCTCAAAGTGGTAGAGCACTATCCTTGAGCAAAGAGATCTTAGGGATAGCACCCAGGCCCTAAGTTCAAGGCCTATAACTGACCAAAAGAAAAATATGATCATTAAAGAAAAATATCAAATATGTCCATCCCACTTCTAGGAAAGTGCCACAGAAAATATTTTGGCATACACTATTTTCCTATGCACAACTCAGTATACTTCTGCCTCTTTCTTTCCTGTTTTCTTTTGTCCAGAGTGGATACTGTTTTTCAATTTGTTCTTCTATAAACATCATAAATGTCTTTCTATGATGTAAAATTTTGAATTGTTTTCATATTCTGTATTATAAACAGGCAATAAAATATCTACTTCTGATGACATTTTGCTTGCTTTTTATTTCTTACCTGTTACCAAGGATCTAATGTACATAGCACTCAGCCACATTATGTTTTTTGCTGTCTACCTAGATATATATTAAAAACTCACCTGAAGCAAAATGGATACCTGCTCAGTTCCAGAAAGCTCCCTCCTCACACACACCCCCAAAAAAACCAACTTTCTAACGGTAAAAAAGTAAGGAAAAATGGATCTTAACATGCCAGCAACTAATTTAGAAGATTTTTAGACATGGGAATAAGCTACCACTTTTCAACCCAAGGCTAAGTGAAACATTCCTATATCTATGTCCATGACTCTAGTACTTTTTATTTGTATTAGAATACTACAATAGCAACCAATCTTGTATTCCTTTGGAGGGTTTTCCGCACTGATTTGGCAAATGATTAATTCCTTCTGAGGATTTTCCTCACTGTTTTTGGTGTGTGTGTGTGTGTGTGTGTGTGTGTGTGTGTTTGTCAAATCATGGGGCCTGAAGGTTTTCCACACTGATTTGGCAAATGATTAATTCCTTCTGAGGATTTTCCTCACTGTTTTTGGGGTGTGTGTGTGTGTATTTGTCAAATCATGGGGCCTGGGTGTGTGTGTGTGTCAAATCATGGGGCCTGAACTCTGGGTATGTGTGTTTGTCAAATCATGGGGCCTGAACTCTGGTGTGTGTGGGGGGGGGGGGCGCTGGGCCTGGGCGCTGTCCCTCAGCTCTTCAGCTCAAGGATAGTGCTCTACCACTTCAGCCACAGCACCACTTCCGGCTTTTCTGTTCACGTGGTGCTGAGGAATCAAACCCAGGGCCTCATGCATGCTAGGTAAGCACTCTACCACTGAGCCACCTTCCCAGCCCCTCACTGGTTTTTTACACAGTAATACTCACGCCCTCTAGCAGTGGAACTGGAGGACTGCATGCTCCCAGCAAGGTCTGCTGCAGAAAGGCATCCCAATCAGATACTTTGTCTCTGATGCCTACAGAGGGAAGAAAGGACTGCTCCTCAGTGTTCCACCCACAAAACACAAAGAAATCAAACATGTGGAAATGGCTTAGAGATATGTTTGTCACTCTAAGTTCTAACCTTCAAAAATCTTGCTTTAGATGGACACTTTTCACTTAGTTTAGTAAGAATTGCATGCAAAACAAATAGAATGAATTGTATACCAACAATTCTTAATAAAAAACTTATCTAAAAGTTGTCTATTTTATTAAATAAATTTTCAAACACATTAAAAATAGAGAAAAGGCAGATGCTGGTGGCTAATGACTGTACTCCTAGCTACTCAGAAAGCTGAGATCTATGGGACAAGAAAGTCCAAGAGACTCTTATCTCCAATTAATCACCAAAAAGCCAGAGGTGGAGCTGTGGCTCAAGCAATGGAGCACTACCTCTACTCTCCCTCCAAAAAAACAAGCTCAGGAACAGTGTCCAAGCCTTGAGATCAAGCCCCAGGATCAGTGCGCAAGCATGCGCAAATACACACACACACACACACACACACACACACACACACACGGTATAATGAATCACACACACACACACACAACACACACACACACACACACACACACACGGTATAATGAATCCTCATATACCCTTGCTTCAACATAGACATGCTAGTTGTTTGTTACTGTCTCTACCACCTTCATACAACAAAGGACAGAACTGAGCAACCATGACTTACAAAGCTAAAATTTGTACCAAATGGCCTTTTACAACAATCTGCCAACACCTGGCTTATGCTTTCATTCCATTCTTACCCAATCAAGCATTACTAAAAAGACAATTCTAAATGGTATATAATATTGTCCATAAATATTTCAGTATATATTTTACAAAGGAAATTAATGCTTTATCTTATCAGAGTATGACACCTTTAAAAAGTTAGTAATTCCCTAATATCAAATGTCTAGTCCATGTTCACATTTCTTTAGTTGTCTTATAAATAGCTTCTTCAATATGTGTGATCATATTAGGATCCAAAATCAGATCAGTATGTGGAAAATGGCTGATGATCTAAATTTCACTTGTACTCTAATCAGAGCTGAGCATTTACATGTCAAAGGCCCCCAGAACACACGGATGCCAAAGAACTCAGCCCACCTAAGCCAGATGTCAGTTAGGATTTCACAAATCCAATCCAAAACACAGGAGGTATGTGTGCAAGGGTCACCTGGGTTACCACCCATCACTTAGCCCAACAGAATCTCAGATTGGTCTCTCCAAAATCTTCTTGATGATCTGAAGCATGTAAAGCAGAGAAGACCTTTGGGAGAAGTCCCTTGTCCTGTTCCCACCCATGTTCCTGCCTTCATGGTCCAACAAAAAATTCATTTGTAGGTACCTTCTTCTCCATACCCCTACCCTTTTTGTTGCAGTATGTACTTGACTCAACTCTTTCCTATAATTTTCAGAGTCTGTTTCATTGGCTGCTTCTTTATGACAACCCCTACTCTTTTCTATAAATCTGTATTCAGAGCCAGAGTTTATCAAAATCAAGTTTGCTCTTTTTGGAGGGGAAAACAAGAAAATTTTTACAAGTGGAGTTATATACTTCCATCAGAAGTACATCAGGCTCATCACTGGTAGCTCATGCCTGTAATCCTAGCTACTCAGTGGACTGAGATCCGAGGATCACAGTTCAAAGAGAGTCCAGTCAGGAAAGACTGTGAGACTCTTACCTCCATTGCTCAAAAGCTAAAGACAGCATCCAGGCCCTGAGTTCAAGAACCAGTCTACCAGCACATATATACACAAAGTACATCAGATTTGGTTGTCTGTACTTCTGTGACAATAGCTTTTAATGATTAGATGAGCTATAAATATAGTTCATCTATTTATAGCTTCTGTATATAGGCTTACCAGTAGCTAAAACTGGTAATATTAGTTCCTTCTTCACTGACAAACACAAATCCTTATGAAGAAAAACTTGCCTATAATCCAATCTACTAAAAAAAGAATTTGTAGAAGATCACGGTCTCACCTTAGCCCAGGCAAAAGCACAAACCCTATCTAAAATACAAACTAAATGTAAAAAGGTTGGGGTCATGATTCAAATGATAAACCACTTGCCTAACAAGCACGAAGCCCTGAGGTCAATTATCAGTACCACCAAAAGAGGGGGAGAAAAGAGAGGAGAAAGAGGAGGAAGGGAGAGAAAGAAGGGAAGGAAGACAGGTAAGAGAACAGAGGGAGGGGAGAGAGGGAAGGTGAGGAGGAAGTGGACGGAGGAGAGGAAGTGAAGAGGGGGAAGGAAGAAGTGTTCTCTTCAGCAACTTATTATTGTAAAGCAAAAGTTCATTAAAAAAAAGAAATAACAGATTATTCTCTTTATTCTTTCTCTAAATCTACCAGCCCTTTAAATAATCAATTAGTTCCCTTGAATCCAGCAAAGGCTATTAAGTGAGGGGGCTGTTTATTTTTTTTGTGGTGATTTTTTTGGGGGGGGTCCGTTCATGGGGCCTGAACTCTGGGCCTGGGCGCTGTCCCTCAGCTCTTCAGCTCAAGGCTAGCGCTCTACCACTTGAGCCACAGCGCCACTTCCGGCTTTTTTCTTTTTGCTTATGTGGTGCTGAGGAATCAAACCCAGGGCCTCAGGCATGCAAGGCAAGCGCTCTACCACTGAGCCACCTTCCCAGCATGAGGAGCTGTTTAAAAGATTTCACTATGCTGGGCACTGGTGGCTCACACTTATAACCTAGCTACTTAGAAGCTCTGAGGATCACTGTTCAAAGCCAGCCTAGGCAGGAAAGCCTTATCCCCAATAAACTGGTAATGAAGTTATAGCTCAAGTGGTAAAGTTCTAGCCTTGAGCAAAAAAGCTCAGGGACATTATCTAGGCTCTCAGTTCAAGTCCTAGAACCAACAAATAAAGACTTACTTACATGTAGATACATACATACATACATTCATACATATATACATATTCACTATAAAGTAATAAGCTAAATCATATATATTAGAAACCACTGTATCTATTGTCATTACTGATATTCAAATTATTTCATCTTTAACCAGAGGAAGTCTCTTCAGCTTGATTTTAAAGGTCTTTTGACATGATATAGTCATTGGTATCTCTGTTTCTTTTGCGTATGACAAGATGCTTCAGTCTCATGGGTACATTTCTTGTCTCAGACAAGAAACAGCAACCATGCCAGGCATCAGTGGCTCATGCTTGTAATCCTAGCTACTTAGGAGGATGAGATCTGAGGATCATGGTTCAAAGCCAGCCCAGGCAGGAAAGCCTGTGAGACTCAACTCCAATAACCACCAGAAAACCGGAAGTGGCACTGTGGCTCAGGTGGTAGAGTGCTCACCTTGATCTGAAGAGCTCAGGGACAGCTCCCAGGCCCAGAGTTCAAGCCCCATGACCGATGGAAAAAAAGAAAGAAAGAAAGAAACAGCAACCAATTTGTTCCAATAAAACTGATATTTAGAGATCACAATCAAGATGCTGGGAGTGTGTGTGCCACTACTGGTTAATATTTCTAGGTGTTTCGGTGCCTAGACCTATCAACTTGCTCTTCAGCATCTTCTTTTAGAAAAGATAAACACATCAGGATTTTTTCAGCACAATTCAGAAAGACTATATATATTTTTTTGGGGGGGGATCCGGTCGTGGGACCTGAACTCTGGGCCTGGGCGCTGTCCCTCAGCTCTTTAGCTCAAGGCTAGCACTCTACCACTTGAGCCACAGCGCCACTTCCGGCTTTTTTCATTTTGCTTATGTGGTGCTCAGGAATCGAACCCAGGGCCTCTGGCATGCAAGGTAAGCACTCTACCACTGAGCCACCTTCCCAGCCCAGAAAGACTATTTTTTTATGTACTTACAACTACATCTATATTTCCCTCCTATTGTGCCATAGAGCCTAGCTCCCAATTAGACATTATTCTGCTTTATTTCACAATAAACAAATAATTACTTTAAACTAACATAATCAACTATCACCAAAAAAAAAAAAAGTATAGTTCACTTCTACTAAGGATTCAAATTACCTTTTTTTGAACTCAACCAAACAGTTGTTCTCTGTGTGGTTTTCCTGTCATTTTCTTTCAGTTTTTGGAATTGCTTTTTCAAAGATTTCATCTGTTTTATAGTTACATAAAATATCTACATGATTCAAAAGTCAAATCTACAAAATAAAGGATATTCACAAAAGCTTTCCCTATTACCTTTATTGTTCTTTTCTTTCTCCTCCTCATTTCCAGAGAATACGCTTGTAGATACGGCTTGTTTCTTCTTGACAATAACTTTTATTGTTATAAAATACTCTTGTTTCTATGCAATGTTTTCCCCCTCTGTATTCTGCCTCTGTCACATAACAAACTGGTTTGAAACTTCTGTTTTCTTTTTCTATTTGTTTGTATACCCTTGCCCAACATTTTATTTTACTCTTGTTTTTTCTTTTTTGTAATAGTACTGAGGTTTGAACTTGAGCATTCATGATTGCTAGGCAGGTGGTCTACCATTTGAGCCATACTCCCAGAACTTTTTTGCTTTAGTTGATTTTTCAGATAGAGTCTTGTGCTTTTTGCCTAGACAGGTCTTGAACTGTAATCTTTCTACTGATGCCTCCCATAGAGCAGAGATTACAGGCATGGAGCTGGGGTTTCACTAACTTTTTGCCCAGAGTAACCTTGAACAAAGATCCTCCCAATTTTCACCTCCCAAGCATCTAGGATCACAGGTCTGGCTAGTCCTCCCTATTTGTTACTTTTTTTTTTAAATTCTCTCTCTCTAAACAATACTGAACTTGGTTCTCTTCCCCTCCCCACCTTCTCTTTCAGCATCTTATATCAGGTAGTATCCTTTTTTGCACCCAGTTAACACTTAAAGGGTAACTACTTAAATTACATAGGTATAGATATTTTTAAGGCCATAACTGAGCTTATGCCACTATTCATATGCTCTCCCTCATTGTCTTTCTTTCTTTCCTTTCTTTCTTTCTCCTTCCTTCCTTCCTTTTCTTTCTT